CTGACGAACAAAAGCAGATTAATAATGTCTTAAAATTAGTTGACTGTCTGCTTATATCGGATCGCTAATTATCAAATAAGTTGAAGTTAGAAGGGTGAGTGAAGTTTGTAATGTAGGCAATGACGGAATGATTATATCCTATCAGAGGGGGCAGGTACTAATTAATCTGGGGGCTGGAGACGTCTTTTTTTTTTTTATTTCTGACACAGACACAACCAGACGGAGCGAATGGATCTTAGCTTCAATGTGTAAGGATGAGCTCCGGCAAGTGTTCTGGGGAGGCTACGTCCATGCTGTGGGTTACAGCAGTCATTATTAGATGGGGGCAAACACATCCAGATGGCATCGGTGCAAATTCATTCGCGCAAGTGCGTCGGTGCTCAGAATTGCGGCCGTGGGCTCCGCCCGATGATCGCCCTCCGACCGGCGGCCGCTGCTCCCGCCATGTGTGCCGCTAATCCCCAGTGCCCGCTGGTTGCGAGCTGAGTCACGCCTGGAGACGCCGTCAAACTTGGACATTTGTGTTGTGGAGCAGTTCGCCTGTTACTGCGATGAGGCAGTGTGAGATAGGATGCGATGTACCGCGAGTGACACCCAGATGGCCATGTGCTGTACTTGCGTCACTGCTTGTCACAGTGCTGGCCTACTGGCTTCCCAAAAATAGAGAAATATTCGATATTCATCATTCTTTATACTATCGCACAGAAAACCAGCATCAGATTGAAGAGCCTTGGACTCCTGCCATGGCTTTTTAATTATATATTTTTTAATACAGGCTCTATCAGAAGTGCGTGTGTGTTTGTACATTTTGCGAGCAGTTCCTGTGCTTCTCCCAGCACTGTAGGCTACTCCTTGCAGCTTTAACAGTTGTGCAAAGTCGCGAAGTGCAAACGTTCGGCATGTGGTCTGTTGGCAGGACTTTAGAGAGGGACAGGGTGGCATTAAAATTACACACGCTCCTTTAGTGCATCTGTTTTCAGAGAGCTTGCGTCTGATGAGGATGCGACAGCACCATACATTTTTTTTTTCTCCGTCGCACTTTTGCCGACTGACACGATTATCACTTGTGTGAACTTCGTCGCTGCTCCTCTCAAACAACGCGAGCGACAGCAACATGTTAATTCTTTACAGACAGACGTTGTTTCACCGGATGATAAGCCAGGTGTCTGAATCGCTTAGCGAGGGAAATGCGCCACTTATCTCCTAGTTCACAGAGCAGACTTCCTTCTCCCGCTCCTGGCCTGTTCCTCCCCGGAATGACAGGCCGGGAGTCACGAACAATATCCGGCCTTCCAGAGGAGCGGAGCTGAGTGTCCTGCTCCCAAAAGACCGGCGGCGGCCGCAAGGGCTCTTAGGTCCATTTGCACGCGGTTTGCCCTCTCGTGAAACTTCAGGTGTGACGCCAGTGCCCTCGCACGGCACGTCAGCTCGAGGACGAGCTGCAGAGGTGAGCTGAGAGGCCGGGCTCCTCCTGCTGGGGTGTGACATGCGTTGTCATACTCATAGGCTCGGTTCGGTGACATTTCACTGTCGCTGTTGCGCATAATGTTGTATCATTTTCATCACAATTGTCCTGCCTGTTCACGCCTGAGATCGACCATAGCGCTGAGGTGCGAAGATGATGCTTTTCATGCCCCATCTTCCTCCATGCCATTGCTCAATGCAGACGTTCAGTGCTGAAATACTTTTTCGGAGCAGCGCGTAAGTTTCGAATGTTCTCATCACAATACCTGCCCCCCCTACCACTGATTTGGTGCAGTGCTGTTGCTGGAATGTTCTATTCGGTGGATAGTCGTGTCTGTCATGAATGGGAAATGATTTCTGCCACTTCGTGTCGCCTCACGGACTACATGAAGTCCGTATATCTAATTAATTCATCTCAGAGTCTGAAGTCAGCATATTTGAATGACCAGCTCATGCATGTCTGATTAGTTAGCTCAGGGACTGGTTCAACAGTAGTATGTCTGATAGACTCAGTTCAGCAGCTGGCCAGCAGTGTATCATTGTCCAGTATAATGCAGCAGCTTCCCAGCAATGTGGCCCAGTCAAATGACTAATTATCTTACTGGGAATGCGGGGCATCATCTCTAACCAGGAAATGTGGTAATGGCACCATCCGGGAGTTTACTTGAGTTAGCAAATTCAGACAACTAAGAAGTAAAATAAGCAATTTATTGTCTGGGTACAACAACGTTCACAATCACTATTAAAAACTGCAGCATAGAGACAAACTTTAATCTAACTTAAGTGGGCAGTTAGCTATATAACTACATTATACACACACAGGGAACACACAGAGATACATTCCCCAGCAGAAGATATTCATGGTGGCTGAGACAGATCTGGGTACCGATGTTAATCTCATAGCACCATGTGGGGGCTCTGAATACAGAATCCCCCTCCCCCCCCCAACTTGTGGACCCTCCCTTAAGTACAAAAGCAAGTGATTGGTTTTCTTTGAAGATGGCGATTCACTCTCTGACCAGATGTTGTGCTTATTGTTTTACTTAAAGATTTCGGTTTTATTGCGACGTGGTTCTCCTTGTAATCTCCTTAAAGATACTGATACGTCATTGGACAGTCAGGACCCCACACTAATTGTGTAAGGAATCCACTTGCAGAGTCTCCCACAAATGTAGTTTCCAGAAAATGATGATTCACCCAACAGCAAAATAATATAATGTAAGACAGTGCAGGCATACAGAGGGTATGGAAAGGCAGCTCAGGTACAAATGATGGACAACTGAAATACAAAATAATACCCTTCTGCAACAAAATAACAGACCTTCTGCAACAAAGTATCGTGCAGAGGTGTCTGAGACAGGGAGGAGGCCAGCCAAGACGGGGGCTCCCCCCGAGAGCAGGTACCGACTTCTCTGGTTGCTATTCATCCAGCGGCTTCCTTATCAGCCTGGCGGTGCCGAATGGACCAGCCCTGTTTCCCTGACTTTCCCATGGTCAGAATTTGCTGTCTGCATTCAAACCAAGGTTACTGAGGAATCCTTAGCACTTTTCTTCACAATGGTCAATAGGAATGTTACTGCTGGGGTTGTATCATTCAAATATATTAATTTAAGACTGAGGCCATTCAAATGAGACCAAACATGGATCTGTACAAGGGTGTAGGTTTGGCGCCGACCCAAGGTGGTCGGGGCCACAGAATCCTCTGGGGTCAGCCGTGCTACAGTGTGTGTATGTGTGTGTTCATGCGCACCTTAGGATGGACAGAACGATCCTGAATGAGCCCAGTCTGGTGCCCTGTGTTGACATTCCTCAAATTTCCCCTCCGTCATACTTCATCATTAAAAAATAAACAATTATAGTGGAATCTTTTCGGCTATGTTCAGAATAGCAATTAGTTGGCGACCTTTATCTAGCTGGGTTCTGTTGTCATGCAAATGCCATTACTCAGGCGCATTGAGGGCAGGACACGTGTGATTTGGTTTTGCTGTTTTTACACTGAGCATTTCAGCACTTTGCATTGTATGCTGAGGGCTCCCCCCCTATTAAACAGCCTGACATTTCATGTTCTCTAAGCTACAGCATCGGCGATGCCTCCTCCAGTGTGTGGGCCTCTACAGCCCGTCACATTACCATCGAAAGAGTCTCCCTCTGTTCAACCAGTGATGCATTAGCTTTAACTCTAAAGCTGACCGTGCACCACAGGTGCAGGGTCCCCGAGGCCAACTTTTCGTTTGTTCTGATCCCATCTGCTGTCCATGATTGGCTGTCATAAATGTGGCGCTGCAGGATTGGTCAGCAGGACTAATTATGCAGATACCAGCATGCTTTGCACCGCACTGCGCGTATCTGTAAATTGTGTAAATCTGTGTATTTATGTTGTACATAGTAAATGTGTAATCTCTGCCGTGGAAGGCGTGTGCTTCGCTAGCCTGTATCCGTGAGAGTCGGTAAATTCTTGGCTTTCTGTCTGTGCCGCTGCTAGTATTAAACTAATAGTGGTTGTAAAAAAAAGTTTGCAAACTTCTGTTTTAAAAGAGCTGCCATGTCCTTTATTAAAATGACTCACGCACTCGCCACAATATGTTTATTTGCGCTCTGTAGGAGGTCCACAGCATTCTGCGCCCTTTAGGCTTGCGGCGTGACACAGAGCGACCCGGGTGGCGACGTCCTTTTAAGGAACGTGACAGATTGCTGTCGCCGACGCGCTCGACGTCGTGTTGCGTGGACGTAGCTTGGAGTATACAGCCACCTTAAAAGGCATCATGACAAAGAGGCTGTGCGCTCCTAAGCGTCACGTGGGGCTGTTCCACAGAGAGGATGACTTGTTTATTAATTGCATGGGATTAATGAAGGGCTGTACTTTGTGTGGCACCCTGGTGCGTACAGGTTAGGGCGGCCCCGGGCCTTGAGCTCCGGGTTGTGGGGATGCTATGGAGGGAGGCTTCGGCGCATCATGCTTTTAACATCACATACACGCACAAGCCTTTGCTCCGCTCAGCAGAAAGCGGTGGATCTCAGTACAACAGGCTGGTGGTTGATTACCTCTCTGCCTTTCAAAGGTTTGCTGTGTGTTTCCTATGATCCTTCCAGCCACTAATGTTACAGTCACAAAATGGGCCGTTTTTTTAATACTTCTCCTATAGGATGTGTTTGGTCAGCAAAGCAGAAATTATTGCACCGTGTAAAACTACAGCATTTGGTTAATCTGAGCGACGATGTTCCATTAATATTCATCATGGAGGAAAATCGTGGAGGAAGCCAGCTGTCCAGTGACCACAAGGAGAATTTTTTCACCTTTCCCTTAAAAATCATCTTGTCTACATACAGACAGTAACATGTAACATTTTAATGTTGTTTTAATGTGACGGTTTATCCCGCTCACACAAATCTTAAATTATTTAACTGAAAAGCTAAAATGAAGTTATATCATATATATTCACCGATAATGTATTAGTGGAAATAAAGAACCATTGTGAACTTAAACGGAACCCGTCATGTTAAAAAAATATCTGGGAAAAAATATGCCTTCGATGGCAATTTACGGGAAGGTGTAGGCTTTACTAAATGTGCCTCGCTTCAATATCGATTTCAGACAAGTGGTCGATTGCATTTTGTAAAACAAACCTTGGCGATTTCTTCCTATTGTTTTGTAAGGAGTCTCCGCCGGCGGACAGCGGTTGTCCTTTTGTCTAAGGGGCCGCTTGTCCGGCTGCCTTGTTTAATGTGCACCATGCGCTCCTTCTTTGGGCGGCTTTATAACCCGGAGCGGCGACACATCGCAACACGTGACGCCAGCTACTAAAGCGACGTTTCGTAAATATGCAGCCACACGGACTCGGGGCACCGGCGGCGGCCACATGCACCGCAGCGCACTTTATAAAGGACCGCTCTCTGCTTTATTTCTATAGTCACATATATGTATAAATGACATTTTAAAAAGACGCCAGAATACGGCGTTTGTTACAGTATAATAAATTTGCGTTCATTCTTCTCACGTTTTTACTTTCTTCATCCTTCGCAATGATTACCTACTGAGCACCGAGGTCGGGTTCATGCCGGACGGTACTTTATCTGCGGCGCAAGGATTTTATTCACCTGGGCAAATTATGTGAAGGTAAACAACTTTTACTAATGTTGTTTTTAAATTATGTCATTGAATGTATTAAGGGATTCCAGTCAGTATTTCAGTATTATCTGTAAGACCATTTGCATCTACATTATTTAAAATAAATGATCAGTACTGAACGTGGTCCTGAAAATTCATTCTTTTGCATGCAGTACGAAAACCGATTAGGATTCATACAGATATAATTTATAGTTGAATGAAACGTAAGAGAAAAGCTTCACCCTTCAAGCTAAAACACTCAATTTCTCACATTTTGTGAAAATTCGTAATTCATATTCAGAGCATTGACCACTGTTATGTGATGCTTGTGGTTTTCAAGCCGTGTCTACGGAAAAGAGAATGAGATACGCGGCCAAAAGGATGTCAAAAACTGCAGTCTACTTTTTGTTTTTAATAACATGCTTTGTATATGTAAAACGAAGATGTGTGGGTGGATACAGTTGTATGCGTGTGATTTACAATCAATTGCTTAGTGATAGTAAATATTTAATTCCTTAAACACTCGTGTTTTCTTAAGTTGTGCTGCTTTTTGTTTGGGATTTTTTTTCCAGACCATTAAGTACCATCAGACAGCCAACACGAATAATCATTTCCCATTAGGATTTATGAAATTCAGATTCACCTGTAAGAGGAGTCGTCACTGAGTGAATGAATCGCAGAATTTGCGCCTATGAAGTTATTTCGTATAGATTTGCACCCTCTAGTGGTCAAGGTACTCGAAAGCCTGCAAATCCCGAAGTGCGTTACGAAGAGCCCTGTTAGCACTGGGCTGAAAAATCGCGAACGATAACATTTAAACAAGTTGGAATATAAGAAGACTCGTGTCTCGTGTGAAGAAAATCAGTTTTTAAAAAATAAAAACATACGTGTATGTTTGTAGCATGTACGGCATGAATCACTGTAGTTTTCAAATTGCAATGTCGGTAAGCGACGTATGATTCCTACATATGAATAATTAACGACTGACTAGTTACCAGATGTTGTCCCTCAGACATAAGTGCGGTCGCCATTTGGCTAATACTTAATTACTTATAATTATCTATATTCTGTACCAGCTCTTAGCTCTCTATATTACAATATATATTACAATTTGATGCATGCAAAATATTAACAAAAAAATACAAGTGGATGCAGCAGAAGTATTTCATTTTGTATTTTTGTTTTGACAAAATAGTAATATGTTTATGAATTTTCACACGACACACCACTATATGGCTATAATTGTTTTTTGAATACAACATACATTATCTGCAAGCATCAATCCTATCCGACCCGTAATCATTCCTCTGTGTTTGCATGTCCTATATTGTCACTGTGATTCTTGAAATGTTGAAAGGTAACATTTTCATAAATCAACCTTTTATTTTTTATTTCACTGTAGATTCTCCCGGAATCATCTTAGGCAACCTTTCATCTGCTAGAGGAGGCAGTCATGAAGTCCGTCCTAGATGGCGCTGCAGACGCCACTTTTCGGACCATAACCTCGGGTCTGCAGTACCTTGGTTCCAATGATGCTAGTTACGATGACCCCGCCATCAACGCCGACTTCGCCAAGAGTCGGTTCTCCTTGCAGAAGCCTCTCTCTGCATTCCGGGGCAACTCCTTCCCGGTCAAAGTCCCCGAGGATGAGGAGCTCATTCTCAGAGGGTTCCCATTCTACCCGACCAACGTGACCGAGTTGCTCGGCAACCGGAGCACTTTTGGTGAGGAGGGCAGCTCCGTCCAGTGCGGAGAGAACTTCATGGACATGGAGTGTTTCATGATCCTGACGCCCGGCCAGCAGCTGGCCATAGCGGTTCTGGCACTGACGCTAGGCACCTTCACGGTGCTGGAGAACCTGGTGGTGCTCTGTGTCATCCTGCAGTCACGCACCCTTCGCTGCCGCCCTTCCTACCACTTCATCGGCAGCTTGGCCGTGGCTGACCTGCTGGGCAGTGTGATCTTCGTCTACAGCTTTCTGGACTTCCACGTGTTCCACCGGAAGGACAGTCCCAACGTTTTCCTCTTCAAGCTGGGCGGAGTCACGGCCTCGTTCACCGCCTCTGTGGGGAGCCTCTTTCTCACAGCGATAGACCGCTACATCTCCATCCACAGGCCTTTGTCCTATAGGCGTATCGTCACCAGGACAAAGGCAGTCATCGCCTTCTCCATGATGTGGACTGTCTCCATCATCATCGCAGTGCTGCCCCTGCTCGGCTGGAACTGCAAACGCCTGGGCACAGTGTGCTCGGACATTTTCCCCCTCATCGACGAAAACTATTTGCTCTTCTGGATTGGGGTGACCAGCGTGTTGGTCATCTTCATCATCTACGCATACATGTTCATCCTGTGGAAGGCCCACCATCACGCGGTGCGTATGCTCAGCCGCACCTCCCAGAAGAGCATGGTCATCTGCACCCCAGAGGGCACCAAGGTGCAGACCACCCGCCCGGATCAGGCACGCATGGACATCCGACTGGCCAAGACACTGGTGCTCATCTTGGTGGTGCTGATCATCTGCTGGGGGCCTGTGCTCGCCATCATGGTCTATGACCTATTCTGGAAGATGGACAACTCTACCAAGACCGTCTTTGCATTCTGCAGCATGCTCTGCCTGCTCAACTCCACCGTCAACCCCATCATTTATGCCCTGAGGAGCAGAGATCTGCGGCAGGCATTTCTGAGCGCCTGCCAAGTTTGCCGAAGTGCCGGCCAACCATTGGATAACAGCATCGAGTCCGACTGCCAAAACAGGAGCACCAGTATCGGTGCCAGCAGGGCAGCGGAGAGCTGTGTGAAAACCACTGTGAAAATAGCCAAAGTGACCATGTCCGTCTCAACAGACACATCAGCAGAAGCTGTCTGATGGCCTTCGTTGGACACTAGGCACGACATTTTTAATGTAAGAAGCCCATCACAGCACCAACCCAAGGCCTATCATTCCATGTAAAACTCAACTAAGGGGTTGAAAGAATCGAAGGCGACAAGAGCAAAGTGTCACTGAAAGTCACAACTGAATAATTAAATACAATGATGACTCACCATTGGACGACGGCCTAAATGTCTCATCTGTGCCAGTCTAGTATTTTTCCAGGTGTATTTCTGTGTTTGCTGTAGTGCCAAAGTCACAACCTTAATTTTACACTGACACTGAACAGCAGTGAAAAAATGTTTCAGCCATTGTAAAGTAAATCTTTTTAAATTTCTCATTCACTTTAATGTTGTAGTTAATGGTGTTGGTAGATTATAAAAATTCACGTAGGGTTACCGTATTTTAAAACCTATTACATCAGATTCTCGGAACGGTAACTTTACACATGGGATAAGGGGCTATTTACATGTTAATGAGAAATATGTTAATATGTAGAACTGAGATGTGCATGTGTACATAGTCCTCGTAGCCATTAGTCATTTAATTGTATAGATAATTGCTTTGTACTGTGTGGTGCCGTACGATTTTGGCTTTGGGGATTTTAAAAAGGGCAGGTTGAAAACTGCTGATATACTTTTGGCTTAAGGGACAGTTTTCAGCTACATAAACTAACCATATGTGTACAGAAACCTTAACAAAGGGGAACCACTCAACAATTAATTGATGTATAAAACCTGCCCTCAGTAAGACAGCATTCTTATTACGGAGTCTGTAGTGTACAGTATTGGGTTACTGTTTTTGAATGTTCTGTCCTGATTAGAGATAAAAGCACAGCTATTTAGATATTTAGATCTATTTTTACAGTAACAACCGTCTGTCGTTTTGGGACTAGATTTGGTCACAGTTGATTGTCTAACTCTTTGTTACTTGTAGACGCCTGCTGATAAGCAGGAGCAGATTTATTAAGTGTGTTATTGGCCTTCAAACATGGTCCAGAATTTGACTGAATTAGAACATTTGTGCTGGAAATCAGGCGAGTCCGAAAAAATAGGGATGCGTTAAAGATTACTGCTGACAATCAGGCGGCGATTCTCCCACTGAGCAAGATAGTGACACAAGCTTAAAGAGAAGTGAAAACCCAGAACCGATAAAGAACTGATGTTTCCAGAAACCAAAGACCGACGGAGTTATTTGGTCTGCAGTACCAATGGCATCCCTGGAAATGACTGTCACATGACTGAGGCATAATGTGTTACCAATTTCACTGATAAAGCCAGTCAGTGTTAACCTAGGAACCATGTGGCACATCTAGCTGGTTACCTGGTTAAAACCGTTTGATAGAAAAACTTTGCAAGACAGTTGAGGACTTACAGTAATTTGTATTCTTATAGTTGGACGGGTGGAGGTAGGAGACTTTGTGGGGGGGCGACCTGAATGGATTGTGTTTTTCTTCCTGACAGCCGCCCTGAAACGAATGGGGTTCTGGACTGTTTTCTCGAAAATCGTTTTTTCTGAAGCGTCCAGCACAGGAGTGTCAGTAGGATAATTCAGACCCAGGGAAAATATTCAGGTTGCGCCCCCTAGCCGCAGCAGCCTGAAAAAACATAGAGAGAACTCAAAAGAATAGTTTTTTAAGGCTTTATTGAGTGTTATTTTTATATATATTAAAAACAAGAGGAATATTTCAGAAAATATTTCTTTCAATTTTTGGACAAAAATGTGTAATGACAAAGGTGTAAATAATGTAGGCCTATATGTCTCGTACCCTGTGAACTGAGGTTGCCGTTGTATATGGTCACGCAGCACATTTACAATAATTGAGAGCTCAGTGAAACTGTCCTGTTGTACTGCCACCACTGTGACCTTCAAAGCTCCGTTCATGCAGTATGACTGCATGTTCTAACATCCATATAAGTGATTAGCCCTCAGTATAATCTGTAGATTTCCATTGTCTTCTACTGTGAATGTCCTTTAGTCTTGTAAAATACTATATATAACATTTGTTTGTAAAATATTGTACATAATGCAACTCTAAAGTGAGGTTAAAAATCTCTGCCCGTAACAGGTGAGATCTGTCAGTATTACACTGTTTTAAATGTGGTCAAAATGTCTCGGTGAAAGCTGTGTGTTGGTGTGTGCTGGCCACACTGTCGTAATTCTGGAAACTTCTCGGGTGCCCGCTGCGCTAGCCTGTCCCGCTCGCTTGCTACAAACGAATCCAAGCTAAGCAGGTTTGGGCTTGACTGGTGCTTGGCTGGGAAATCTGAGTTACTGCTCAAAGCAAGCCATGGAACGAGGGGCTAGTATGGGCATGACCCATTGAGGGTCCAGCATATGTCAGTCATAATCAGAGTTTTTAAATTATTGTAAACACGAAGAAATCAAACCAATTTTAAAGATGGACTTGTTGAAATCTTATAGCCAAATGCACTCCCATACCCTGCAGTGGCCGACCTGTGTTGAGCTGGTATTAGTTTTATTAGTAGTATTAGTGTTCAGTGTGGAGTATGTAGCCCTCCGAAGTGTGTGAAGTGCCAGTACCCCAGTGCCACCGAAGGGGGACACCATCCTTTAGACTGGGAACCCAAACGAATATCCTTATTCACTGTAACCATAAGAAAAAAAGAAAAAGGTACAAAAAACATCCCAGGGCATTTATCAACTCACTAGAAGGCTGCCTAATCTTGCCCCGTTGTCATATCTGCCCAGACAATGTGTAACCTCATTGCCTTGTTGTTACACAGTATGGCATGATGCAGGCAGGTGCTGGGCCTTATGGGTGCCTGACGGTGGTCACCCATCACAGCAGCACCACACACTCTTTCCTAGACAGTAGGAAGAACAAAGCTATACAAATGCATTTGACTGTTTTTGTTGGTATTTATTATCGATAGTAATACATCTGACAGTTCCATTTCTAAAGAAAGATTTCATTAATGTGTCATTATTGGATATTACAAATTTGTCACTGTTATTAGATTAATTAAATATAGATGACATTTATTTTACTGTCAAGAAAAACAAAACTCTTTAGGGTTAACTCTGCGGACTGAGTCACATGGATAACTCAAAGACAGACCAAAAAAATGGTTTCTTTAAACAAGAATGTTGTGTTGACCGGGTGCTTTCATGTGAGTTGAATTACTATCGTTTGTATAAGCAGCATAAAGAATTTTGAACAGATTTTATTGATCTTGACTGGAAGTTAACGTGATGTGTTTTGATTGGTCCGAATAAAATAGGACAGTTTGGAACTAGCTTGATTAGCAATGTTATCTGTAGCCATTTAGTTCATTGTTAACTTTAACTGTGTTCCAGTGACATTTCTACTCCTAGCAATACTTAGTGCTGGACATCAACTTTAAACAGTTAAGTGGCTTCTGTAACTAAGATTGCATGTGAGGAGTTTGTAAATACAAAATAAATAATATTCTGTCCTGAGCAATTGGACAACTGTGTTTGATGTACTGCAGTGTAATCTGTTACTAAGCCATTGAATAAAGTCTCAACTGGTGAATGAGGATTGTGCAGGCTTGTTTTTTCGTCAGCTCTGCCCCACACATGCAATACATTTCAACCTGCTTCTAACTGGCCCACACCAACCCCCGATAAAATACGCCATCGTTACTTTCACTGGAACAGTAAGTTAGGATGGCAGTGTATACAGGGCCAGTTCTTCACACGGTAAAGCGGAAGATGCTACTCTTTTGTGTGGCTTTCTCTGCACATTCTTAGTTCTCTATCTACAGACTACGGGGATTTCCTTGAGATTCATAAGAAGTATTCGGTAGCTGTGCAAAGATCATTATTTTCCACCTTGCAGATGAAAATCAGACCATAAACAGATGTTTTCCAAGCTATGTTTTTAGGCAACCCAGAAGAGAATTTCGTTTCTAAAATCTTATTGAAGTAAAACAGGCAATGGCTCTGTGAATGGTATGTGAATTATAATTCTTATAATTGTTTTAGTTGTCCGTATGATTTTAAATCTTTAAAGTTTCGTATTTTAATATAAAACTTAAAAGGTATCATACAGTATTGTCAAACGGAGAAGGGCTGGCAATAAATTAAACTGTAAAAAAAAAAAAAAAACATTAAACCGAAACACTCGGAATCGTAGGCAAACATTAACAGGTTCCTCGCAGGGTTTTGCAAACAGGAGTTTTCACAATAAACTTGGGTAATCAGCATGTTAAAACACGGAACCGTAATTGCCAACTTTGATTTCGAAACGAATAAATAGCATTGGGCTTTATTCAAACACACCAATCACTCATACCAATAAAGACATTTAAATCAAGAAACCGGAAACTCGTGACTGAGACGGTTCTCGAGGTTTCATGGGAAATGTAGTGCACGACATTGCCCATTTCTCCGAATCCAAAGGACATGTAGCTGTAAAAAAAACTACAAGTTAATATGTTAATAATATTGCGCATGCTCCTGGGATCAGGAGCCGAGCTTGACGTGTTTGTCGCCATATTGGATATCAAATAGGAAATTCTGTGAGCTGACGACGTTTCATCTCAGGGAAGAATCCGTCTTCATCCTGTTCGTATGTAATTTCGTGTGCCAAGAAAAAGGGAGTTAATATAATAGAACAATCGAGTAATTACAAGATTTAGATAGTGAAATATATGGAGGGACCTTGTTACTAGAAAATACAAAACAATCTACTCGGAAATCGATTCGTTCGTCAAGAAAAAGTGGATCAAGATACATAACCGAAAAGAAAGCCGTCTGAGGGGCGCGTTTAGCTCGATCGCGTCTTATTGATACTTTGACATTTTCAGCTGCGGTGCGGATTTTGAGTTACATATTGCTAGCATTGTGTTTCCTCCGGGCTGAAGAAATATGGCGTGTGGAGCAACTTTAAAAAGGACTATGGATTTCGATCCCTTGAGCCAGGCGTCTCCTAAGAGGAGGAGATGCGCCCCCGTGTCTCCGTCGGCGTCCCCGCAGAAGTACTTGCGTATGGAGCCGTCGCCTTTCGGACAGGTGTCATCCCGGCTCACGACAGGTCAGTGCGGCGCCCGGACAGCGGGATGGGGGGGGGAGCGGATTACAGCGAAGCCAAGCGGCTGGCCGGGGCTTACGGCAGAGGCACAGCAACTTACTGCGCCCTACCAGCGCTGACATCCGGCACACGCTCGCAGTCCTACCCCATTATTAATACCCCTGTATTAGACACCCTCTTCCGGCAAACGCTGAATCCGGCATTTTTATCGGCTTTTCGCCCACGCCCGGTGGCTGGCCGGTAATGGCCGAACTGTGATCCTGGAAGTGGCAAACATGGCCACGGAAGAGGTCCGCCTTGGGCGCGGTGTAGATGCGAGGGGGCGTCGGGGCAGCAGCCACCCAGCTGCTATCCTTAGGCGGCACCGCCGTGATCGTGGCTGCTCGCTTTCCCTTTCGCTCTTTGGTCTTCCCGACGCCGCGGCCGCCTTCGCCCGGGTGTTTATGTCTCTTATTACATCCAAGAAAATCCCTCGGCCGTTCCTTCGTGATGGGACGCCAAGCTTAGGATGGAACCTGGCCAAGACCGCTCACAGGCGTTTGCTGAGAATATGGGGACGTTTTAATCTATATAGTTTTTAAATTTTATTTCTTTGCCGACAATAATGGTCTTTTTATTGAGTGTGTCGCCGCGACCGTTAATGGAAGCCGACGTATCCCCGGGGATCCTCAGGCGTGTCTGGACGGCTCCCGGGAAGCTGCGCGTCCAAGTCACGAGTTTCAGTCACATTGCGGTCGGTCGCATATAATAACTAAAGATCTGTCCGCTGGATGTTTGATTTAATCTAAAACAGGATCTGCGTATACATACATTATGGAGATGTGTCGTGCCTGTGTTTTTAATCGATCGGATGAGCCGTCAGGCCAGATCGGCGGTACTGGAAATGCCCACCGCGTCCCTACATGCTGGTCTGCAGTTACTGCTCCTGTTTGTAAACCAGTATATTGTCCGAGCAGCCAGTCTGATGTCCCCAAGTCCACCGTCGCCCCTCTAGATAAGCGAGTTTGATCGCTTTCGGTTATTTGCGAATTACCGTGAACAATTAAATGGAGATTTAATCGACTAAGTTAGAAAGATATATATACACAATACCGAAAATGATTTGAATCAAATTAAAATCGTATCATATATAAATAATAATGTTGTGTATTGTAATGGTATAGTATATCTCTAACAAAAGATATTTTAACTGTGTTATCTTTACGCGCCAGCTCACCTAAAGCCTTGCGGGTAATGTCATGCTTTTTACGATAAGATTTGTCTATTTTAGTACTAAGTTTGTGTGGGGGGGGAACTATCCATCTAATAGTTTTTCTGTAAAAATGTTTAAAGTTGCTAAAATTAGTTCCGAATAGCAAAAATTGCTAACACACGTTTAAGATCATCAATGGCCCAAATCACTATGGATGTAGCTGAAATGTATGCTCGGTATAAATAAGATCCTTCTCATGATGTCCACTGAATCTCAACCTGGAATTGTGTTCTGAATTTATGTAGCTGTTAACTGAACTTAAACAGGTCATGTTTCATGTATGAGTGTGGAGACATAAAAAAAAAAAAATCATCGGGCATTTTTTAGTATTTCTTTTCCAGATATTAAAATCTTAAATTTTGTTCTCCTTCAGAAACAGTCAGCTTCTTTGTCATGAAAATGCCACTGGAATAAAGACAAATAAAAAGATATTTTAAGTTAAATTTTGACCCTGTATTTTCTCAAAAGGACTCTTTGCTGTTTGCGTCAAACTTGTTTTTGAACAAGAAACCATTTTACACACAAAAGACCAAGGGTGTGCTGTTACTCCTCTGTGAAAATAGGCAATTAGCACATAGAACTTAGGCCATTATTTTGGACTCCGCCCCCATCTGAATAACAATCTGTCTTGACAAAGTAATAATTATTAACCCTAACACTATGTAATAATGTAATTACTGACTGACCTTACCCCAAATATTATTTGCGACTTTTCACATTTGTGGGAATCTTCCACTCCAAACCCTTGCAAATGTGAAGGGGTGACGGTAGATTGAGGTGGTTTGTAGTCTCTTGTTTGGGGAGGGAGTTTCTGTATCATGTCACAAAAACTGTTCTTTTTAATATAGTGTATTTTCTTACTTTTTAGTTTTTGTTTTTCTGGTCAGTTACATTTTTTTGTAAAGTTACACATTATTGCACCCATGCAGTGTTCTTGGTGCTCTACTGCAACCGTGTTGAGGTTAATGTAAATGGAAGGGCTGAGATCTGTACACAGATTTCCTGCAGTCTCATGTCTTTTGGCACCTTGTCTGTGAAAATGTTGGCATTGAAGCCCATCGTCTGCATCCCTCCTTTTTCCCTAGAGCAAATTCTGCTGAACATCAAGCAGGAGTACAAGCGCATGCAGAAGAGGCGACACCTGGATAGCAGCTTCTCGCAGGCAGATGGCTGCTTTGTGTTGGACTCCCACCCTCACGCCTCCATACTGAGCGGCTCCTCCTTGCCAGGTACCTGCATGGCCGTTGGCGCCCCGCCCCGCCCTGGGGACGTCCCCAACGCTTCAGCGTCAGTCTCGCTTTCTGTCTTAACGCAGGTACGTCCTCCGGAGCCTCATCCCCATCTAGAAAAGAACAGCCTTTATTTACCTTGAGACAAGTCGGCATGATCTGCGAGCGTCTCTTAAAAGAGCGGGAAGACAAAGTTCGGGAGGAGTACGACGAGATCCTGACCTCGAAGCTGGCAGGTAGGTCTGCCGGAGATGCCGGCTCGCGCCCGCCGCCGCGACGCGCGTCCTAAAGCTCTGCTTTTTTGGATATCACAGAACAATACGACGCCTTCGTCAAGTTCACGCACGACCAGCTGATGCGGCGGTTTGGCGAGCAGCCAGCCAGCTGTGAGTATCGTCTTCCTGTCCTCCTTCCTCCAGGAACATAAACGTCTTCTAGGTCCCCTGTCGGATTGCGGCCTGTTTCTCACCTCCTGCCTCGTCCCCTCTGCCTGTCTCTCGTTCCAGATGTTTCCTGAGTGAGACGCTGCCTTTGGCGGGGGTGCCAGCCTCCCCCTCCGGTCACCGCGAGCCGTCAAATCGACTCTGCTGGTGGCATCTGCAGGGACTCGGCTGATTTGAGTCAGACTTGTAGCCTTGGCATATCTCCTGTGGGCACGAGCCGTTTCGAGGCTTTGCCAGTAGCAACCACTCTGTCTCCAGCAGCCGGCTTGGAGCGCGTCCCTGCTGTGAACCAGGACCTCTGCTGCCTTCACCCGACCAGCAGCATCACGTTTCTCTCCCTGTATTCATCTTAGTGGCTTCTTTCTCTTTATCTCAGTAGTTTTTATAAAAAACGTCTGGCGCTCCCGAATTCACCAGTTTATAAATTTTAGGGTTTCTTTGTGTATCGTGTGACAAACGTAAATCAGCTCTTTTTCCAGATCAGTGCATCTACTTTGGGAAACTGGTGGCTTGGTCACATGATCAGGGCTTAAAGCAGCCCGCTCTGGTCCGTTGTACTGGATTCCAGGGATTTGTGCATATAGGCATGTCATGCTCAGATTACTTAAGTTGATACATGCATATGTTTTTAAGTATTTTTCAAGATTTTGTTTTTATTTATTTTCAGTATTTTTTAGTTTTTATTCACAGTATACCGTCACTGCCCGTGTAGCGTAAAATGAGGGAAAAACCAAATAAAATGTTTACATTAAGTTCTGAAGTTGCTGGGTGTTTGTGTTCCTCCTCGCGTCGGATCGGGTGGAGCTGCCGGCTGTCGCCTCTCCGTCTTCCTGTTTCCTTGAATTATGAAAGCAAAGTTAAGGTCTCATTTGCCCACCCCTCTCCTGGCGCCCCCCCCATGCTCTTGTGTGTGTATGTGTGTCTGCGTGTGTGTATGTGTGTGTATGTGTGTGTGCCCGCACAGAGCTGAAGATTAGTGTGTTCTCAGCCGTTTATAACTTGCTGCATAATGAAACCTGATGTGCAGTTTCCTTCCTACACTTCTATGGATGAACCTGATTAAGATAATCTGTTTTACACTGAGTAGATGATTGTGTGTGAGACTTTCAGTGTAATAACATTTATAAAGGAGATACCCACTGCTTGTATTTTGAGCCTGAATGAATTTATGGTGGCCAAGGACGTGATGTGTTAGGGACGAGCTGGGAGATGGTCAATGTCTGCTGGGGTCTCCAGTTCTGCTTACTATGGGCTGCATGGTGTATCGGTGCACAGAGACCCAGACCGCTGTTGGAGGTGGGTAGGTCTTGTGTAATGTGAACCATCTCTGACTACATGGTAAATCTCAGGTGGTGTTACTTGGATTCCTTGATGTATTTGTGAAATTGTCTTGCCTTTGTAGTTAATCCGGAACCTTCAGACCACCTAACTTTGCTAGATGGCCAACACAGGCCTCGCATTTTCATGCTTCCACATGGATCAGTCACCTCCAGCTGCTTGTCACTCACTGAAATGTAACCCCGTCCTGCTTGGGTATTAGTCACGGTCGAGGGCTGGTTTTCCCAACTGCAAAGAAGCAGGGCGTCTGTGGGGGATGCTATAACATACTGACCGCATGATGGGAGGAACCAATTGCACTGGCATCTCTTTCACACACAGCTAAGCCCTGCGGTTTAGAGTTTGGGTGCCTCAATAATACCTCAGTTTGGCTGATCTCCATGATGCTGGATCGATGAGATCAGGTTGGCCTTTGGGTCCCAGATTCAGCAGAACAGTCCCGTCTTCACGGACTGCCTTTTCTCCTGTGCTATTCCTGTCCACGGTGGGCACGCACACCTGACTTCATTGTTCTAGAGACTTAATATTAACTGAATATTAACATTTAAAATGAAGCAGGGAAGCGTCACAAATCTGATTTGAGCAGCTCAGAGGCTCAGGCAGAGCGTGGCGTCACAAAAATGTTAAAGCAAATTAGCTTCAATGGAAAATGCTGCAATCATGGTAAAGAAAAGTTAGTAACGGTCAGATAAAAATAATGTATTTCGTACCATTTTCACACCGAAAATCCGACTGCTACATTTTATGCTTTGAACCAGCCTGCTTGTGTTCGGAGGCAAAAAGATGACATCATCGCCATGGGAACAGCTCACCGTCAGATAATCCCAGTTACCGGCGCTTCTAGCAGGTAAAGGTTTTATCTGATATTTGGCACCACAGTCTATGTTGACTGATGTTCTTTTACCTTGTTCACAAAAGGTTTAGAGATTTCCGAGGGTGGCTGTGAGTTTCTGATCATGTTATTTCCTGCAGTATAAAAGGCAGCATTTGTTCTTGCGTTCTCACTCGTCAGGAATCGGAATCATGCTTATATTCCCTACTGTCCTCTCCCTTAACGTGAGGTAAAAACTGCCTGCTCAATGTCACCAGAGGTATTCCAAAGCCACCATTCAAAACTGGCAGAGAGCTCACTTTCCATCATATATCGGTATTTTGAACCTGGGGTTGCTGCCTAATTGTAGAAACCTGGAATTTTCCCCTCATGAAAACAACAAGATTTTCATTGGTATTATTAAACTGGGCTTTTATTTTCTGGAAAAATTCACCCCCCCCCCTCCAGCATCGCTAGGACACAGCTCCAGAAGCGACAGTTTGCGTTTTCATCTCCTGTTAATTAATCAGTGTGATAATCTGTTGTGTTGAGCTGATCATTCCTGTATCAGACTCCTGAGAGATTCCAGTCTCAGCTGACCAGGGCTCTAAGTCACAGCAAAATGCTCACTGGGAATGGAGTCTGAACAATCCAGTGTATGCAGATTCCTACTGCAATAAATATGACAGGAGAAAAGCCTGAAGCGATGGAGTTTGGTCAGAATTCTCCTTTAAGTGTTTCTTTAACAGGCCACCAAGATATCTACTGAGTTCCATCCCTGAAGACTGCAGTTTCTATTTTACCAATAATACCAATTCATTAAGCACCCAACTGCTTACCATGGGCAGGGGGTCCCATTGCCCATTGCATGTAGCACAAGGTAGGGAGGCACCTAGAATGGGCTACTAACAGACACCATGTGGCCTAGGACTGCAAGAGGACAGCAGAGCTCTGGGACAGAACTCGCATGACACAAGGAGAACCTTCAAACTCCACAAATACAGGGCGGAGGGAGGATTCGAACCCCTAACCAGGAGTGAGAGGGAAGCCTGGAAGGAGCAAAGACCTGCAAGAGCCTTTCAGCAGCCACTTCTATTGCAGGATATCAATGACACCAGGAGTCAGCTTGTTATACAACTATTTATAGGAAGACATTTCTATGGTAGTATCACACAGCATGGGACGGAAATGCCTCTGTTGCTGAATACAGACTTAATGAATTGAAGAACATACAAAATGAAGGCAGAAGACATTTCTGGTACATTAGGAAAAGTGCCACACGTGGGTGGCCAGTTGGCCTATACAGAATTTTCAAAGAGAAAATCCACACATTTCTTTCACACAGAATAACAATCAAGCCACCCTCGCCAGAACAGAGTTCCATCCTGCTGTGCTGCTGTCCCGCTTCCAGAAACCTGCTCTGCATCCAATCATCTCCTCCTGTCACATGACAAGAGGCAGAGCAATAAAACTCCTCTAATGAGCATCAGGACACCTGGGGAGCCCAGGAGAGCAGAGAGAGTGAGGAGGTGGGAATGGATCAGGCAAGACCCCCTCATTCAGATGATTACTTATGATGTGAGTCTCTGAGGTTGCAAAGCATGTTTCTTCCACCAAGCTAATGTCAACATTCAAACAGCAGAGCCACTGGAAAGTCCGGGAATTCAGCAAGCACCTCAGCTCGGTATGCAAAGAATGGGTAGCCGCCTACAAACTGCCAGCATTATAATCATTCGCAGCGTTGCCAATCAAAGCTAAAGGCGAGCTGTGTGTAACGTAACATGCTGTGTGGACAGACGTGAGCCAAGCGGAGGATCACCAAGAGGAATATATCATCCCACCATCTGTTTGGGAATTGGCAGCATGTGCAACTCTCCGTACGAACATCCAGTTACTGAGACAGCCAGCTATGTTTCTGTGGTATGCCTAGAGAGCACTGCACCATCCCGTGGAGGATGTAGGTACTGCACCAATTAGGGGCTGCATTACTTTTACCTTATTCACGCGCACGTCCTATCAGTAAAATCGTCCGCTGTATTGCACCTTTTCTAACTTATTTTCACATTCTTTATAAGCAAACTGCGCCACCCCAAATTCACGCTTCTTTATATTGACCGTTCATCTCGGCTTAGGATACTGTTAGAGCTGCAAGCTGAGCTTGTAGCACAGAGAAAAAACATTTGTGGACTTGGCCCCAGGTGGGAAAATAACAGTGGGAAATATGTACTATCACGCCATATCTTCTGACGGCATGATCTGACCTTATGTACTGGACATAAATGGTTTCACAGAGCAGAAAATACACAAACCGCCTTTAATGGGATAAAGTATGGGCTGCTAAAGATACAGAGACTGCCAAAATAATACATTATTTTATTAATGCAAACTATATTGCGGACACGAATAAAATTAAATTATCATCATCCTGATTCTACAGCACTCTGATCCGCGCCATCCGTTCGAACTGTCAAGCCACGCCCACAGCGAGAGTGACGCGAATCACGTGAGAGTGAGATGGGACTCATGAGGCGCCAAGATTGGTCGGTGACTGCAAGCGTGCAGTTCAAAGGTCAAATCGAGGGAAATGGCGCTCTGAATGTCATCCGAAAAGGGGTGCGGAGGGGTGTACCGGGCTAGTGCCTTATAGTGCTGTTTCATATTTTTTTTTATTGTTTTTGTTTAAATTGTATCGATGGCTTGCTTTTTTAGAAAAAATATAGCCTCGAAGGTAATGGGGTCTAGCTGCTTTTATATTGTATTCATAGTTTAGCGAACCGACAAATTCACCGTGTTAACTTTCTGTTGATGTTAATGGTTTTAGTTGATTTTATTATTACACATTTAATTCACTGAACAAGGTACCCGTTGTAAGAAATATATATTTTTATTCCAGCTTGCCAAGATTTTTGGACAGCCTGAGGACTCTTTCATTTCAGCTGTGTCCACCATACCTGTGTCAAAAAAACAGTTAAGTGTGATATACTTGTGTGAAAGTGTACGCGTGGACATCACGAGAAGATAACATAATGTCCTCTGTGCAGTCAAACTGACCTTAGCGTGTCATCACTCCTTGGTCTCGTTCTATCACATATATATCTCTGCTCTTGTGTTCTCACTTGATGTTACATGTAAATTTCCAGGCAATCCTCTGACTTCAGGCTGTCAGTGAGCCACCTGAGGCAGAAAGGCTTCCTCCCGTCTGCCGAAGACATTCAGACGCAAGCCGAGTCACTGGCTAGACAAGTATTGTATATGAAATTGTTGTTGTCATATTAAAAAAACACATTTGCAAAACATATCTTATAAAAAACATCTCTCTTACTTTCCAGCTGAATCGCGACAGTGTGGTAGATGACGTAACAGTTGGGCGTGCAGTGATCAATTTCAAAATAAAGCGAGATGTTTTGGCAGAGGTAACTCGTTTTTTAATTCCTCTTTTTTTGGATTTGTTGGATAATTATCAACGCACTGTAACACCGAAGAACAGATAGCCACATCTTTGACTATAAATCGACGCATGGATTTTTTTTTACATGTTGTAGTGATTGTCTATATTTTCTCAAGAAAATTTTAGAACAGGTGTCGAAGGAGGGTCACATGTTT